CTTCATTATTGTTAAGTTTTTCTTCCAAATTTGCTCCAGACTCTTCATGGTATCAAAGCTATCGACAGACGTCCATGACTAATTTGAGTTATGGATCTTGAATTCTAGCTCAAAGGTAGTGAACGAGCAATCTGACAGTGCAAACACAATGACTTCAGTTGCTCATTCTTCTTTTCCAACTCTTTTAGTCAAGTTGGGAGCAAATGTTTTTAACGAATAATCAAGAAACCTAACCCCAAGTATTTTGGCTGGAAAAAGACAGATCAATTTCTAGTAAGCTGGTTAATTTCATCCATTTCTGAATCTATGTTTAGACATGTTGCTAAGTGCACAAATGCGTATGAAATTTGGGATACATTGGAATTGTATTTTCAATCTTTCTCAAAGACGAGAACATTACATTTGAGAAATCTATCGCAAAATACTAAGAGGGAGTCTATGAGTATTAATGAGTATATTCTGGGGAAGAAAGAGTTAAGGGGTGAGTTGGTAGCTAGAGGAGTTCAAATTGGAGATGAGGAGCTATCATTATACATTTTAGATGGTTTAGGTCTAGAGTTTGATGTTATGGTGGCTAATCTTGTGGCCAACAACAGTACTGTCACTCTTCAAGAAACTCAATTGCTTCTTCACAAACATGAGATGAGAATTGAGAAATAGAACAATGCCTTATCAAACTTTTGTAAGTTGACCTCTGCACTACTAGCTGCGAAACAAGTCTCTACTGACACCACTATTGCACCACAATTTCAAATTCCTGCTGTATCACAATTTCAGAATGTCAGTCCTAGAGGAATTGCATTTTACAATTCTAGTCCTTTGTTCGTGGGCCAAACAATTGCATTTCAGAATCCTAACTCTTCACCTACAATTCAAAAGGCATGATGAATTATCAACAACTGTCTAATGTAGTTATGTATACTGCTACATATCCTCACCCTGCCATTACTCAGTATTTCGCTCTTGCTGCTTTTCAATTTAACAATAATGGAATGAGAGGTTGAGGTTGAGGTAAAGGGTATTTTAGGCCTAGGTTAGTCTGTCACGTGTGTGGCAAGAATGGTCACTCAGCCTTACAATGCTATCATCGTTTTGACCATGAATATCAGGGGTTTATACTCAAAATATAACAATTACAACTCTCCTCCAGTTCAGCCAAACCCCTTCCATCTTCAGTTAATAATGGTCAATCATATTTAGGGATTTCACATGACCCTGCTGCTCAAGCTCAAGCTCTTTTTGCAGCAAATTTTCTACCACCCAAGCATCCTTCAAATTCTTATGAGGGATTTCATGATATTTCAGCTGCCGATGTGTTAGAAAACCCTTCACCAAACTACATTACTCCAAATTCCCAACCATATCGACCTGATCATTATTCACCACCTCATAATGTCAACATGACCTCCACCAATAACTTATTCTTGATGTCTACTTCTTCTACACCTATATCATTAAGTGCTACTGCTCAAGACATTGCTACACCACAAACTCTCACATATCAGTTCTGGTATATGGATTCTAGCACTTTGAATCATGTGACTACAAATGCTACTAATAGGTGATGAAGTCTAATTATCAAGGAGGATCCCAAGTGCAAGTCGGTAATGGTTAGTCCATTCATATTACTCACACAGGTATGCTGTTATTGCCTTATACTGATTCTAATAGAATTTTACAGCTTCAAAATATTCTGTGCGTTCCACGTATTGCTAAAAATCTGTTAAGCATATCTCAAATCACTAAGGATAATCATGTGATAGTTGAGTATGCTGACCATTGTTTGATAATGGATAAACACAACAAGGTTGTTCTTCTTCAAGCGACAGTAAATGATGGTCTCTATCAACTTACCTTGCCAACCATTGGTTTCTCTCCTACTGGTTCTCAAATAAAGTCTGCATTTCATGTTTCTAGCTCTACCTCAACTCCTAATTCTCATGCAATTAATTCACCCAAAGCTAATAAAGAGCACTCCTCAAATAGTGTTTTAGGCTTTGACCTTGAATGTACTTCAACTGATAAATCTTTGCTTAATGTGTCATCTAGTAATGTTTTTTCTATGGCATGCTAGATTAGGCTACTGTGGTATTAAGATTCTGAATAATGTACTTGAAAAGTTGCATGCAAGAAGATCTAGTTCTAGAAATAAAAATTTCTTCTGTGAAGCCTGTCAATTTGGCAAACTACAACAGTGCAAGTTTTCTATTTCTACTCCCAGAGCTTAAAAACCTTTAGAAATAATCTATTCTGATTTGTTGTTTTATAACATATTTGATAATCCTAGGATTATACTGTTATATCTAGGCTTTTTGGCCAGATTTTGGATACTTCTTCTTTCGTTTGTGCCTGAATTGAAACTTAATTTCATATATTTTATGTTTCAGGTCAAAACATGCAGTTAGAGCAAATACTAAGCAGAATTGAGTTTCTGGACCCAGAAGTAAACGAATCTCAGGATTCGAGGAAGTTCTTAAGCGGATTCGAAGCACTATGAAATTTGTTCCCATTGGAGATCACTAAAGATTGAAGATTCAAGCAAGAAAGCAAGTGGAGGGTAGTTTCGTAATTTTAGAATAGTTCATAAAGGTTCGCCGTGGTGAAGTTCTTTCTTCGCCGCGACGATAAACTCTCATGTCAAATAGTGAATTAGAGGCCAACTCGATGCCGTGACAAAGTTTATTCTTCGTTGTGGTGAAGTCTGCAATTTTCAGTTATTAAAACTGTGCATTTTAATTTTATGCAAGAGTTTTAGGGTTTTGGGACTGACTATATAAGTGGGACTTAGTTTTTGTAAAAGGGAGTTCGACTTTGTTTTGGGAAAAACAAGAGAGAAATTGAAGATTGGACGTTTTGGGTTCATCAAATAGGGACGATTCACTCTCTTTTCATTATTCCATCATGTTGAATTCTTTGCTTATAGCTTTTATTTTAGTATGAGCTAACTCACTTTTGGGTTAGGGTTTTGATGTAATTGGGATTTTAATGTTTAATCAATAAATTGATGTTGCTTTTACATTTTATTGCATGGATTGTGCAATTACTCTTGTTTTTATTGAAATTACTTGTTGAGCATGATGAGACTGAGAAGTGGATCATGTATTAGCTTCTTAGGGTAATTGCCATTGTTTTATTGAACGCTAGAGACAGGTTTGAGAATCAATGAAATCCATTTAGGATTCCATTTAGCTTAACGAACTTGGAACTATTAACCTTCAATTTGTTGGGTGCGGAAGCTTAATAGGGATAAGTAGGAAAACATAGCCTGAGAAGGTATGTTTTACATGTAGGGTGTCTGATTTATAATCCGTGCATGTGAATGTAGTAGTAATAGAATTCGCAGATTAATTCATAAAATCCTAGTGAAGTCAAAACCCTAACCGCTTTGTTTTAATTGATATTTCTCTTGAATTAATTTTGCTGTCATTAATTAGCTTTTAAATTACGTTGTGGATTTTGTTTCAACTTTAGCTTGATTTTCTCCTGCAAATCCAAACATCTTTCGGTTTCTCCAACTTGATTAACAACTAGAAAAATCAGTGCTTAATAAGCAATCCTCGTGGGAACTATACTCTACTTATCACTTTATTACTTTTTGCGACTAGTGTACTAGCTACACATTGCATGTTGTAATTTCAATGAATCAAGTTTTTGGCGCTGTTGCCGGGGATAGATTTTTGTGTTAATATTGAATTTTTCTAGTTTTAGCTAGATTGGAGTTTAATTTTAGTTTTAATTGTTTTCTAGTTTAATTTTGTTGTTCTTTTCTGTTAGCTTGTGATCTCATGCTCTCTTTCTTTATGTGTGGTTTATGCGAAGAGCTAGACATCATCCAATGGTTCCTAGTGATCTAGAGATTGAAAGAACCGCAAGAATACTTAACAGAGAAAGAAGAGAATAAGAGGCAATAGTCATTAAGATGGCGGAAAACAGAACGTTAAGGGAATTTTCAGTGCCCTCGGTTGATGGTAGTGGTTCAAGTATAACTCGGCCACTAGTGCAAGCCAACAAATTTGAAATAAAGCTAGCAATCATCTAGATGATCCAACAATCGGTACAATTTAAGGGAGATATGAAGGAAGATCTAAATTCACACATTGCAAACTTCTTAGAGATCTGCGATACCTTCAAATTAAATGGAGTGTCAGATGACACCATTGGATTAAAATTATTTTCTTTTTCATTAAGGGATAAAGCAAAGGGATGGTTAATGGCACTACCACCAGGAACAATCACAACCTATAATGAATTAGCACAAAAGTTTCTGACTAAATACTTCCCTCCAAAAGAAATCTGCAAAGATGAGAAATGATATCACATCGTTTCTACAGGAAGAGATTGAATCACTTTATGAAGCTTGGGAAAGTTATAAGAAACTGCTAAGAAAGTGTCCACACCACGGTTTGCCAGTTTGGATGCATGTCCAAATGTTCTATAATGGGTTGATGATAAATGTGCAAACGATGGTGGATGCAACATCTGGAAGAGCATTGCAAATCAAGACACCTGAAAAAGCTTATGAGTTACTTGAACTCCTGGCAAGTAACAACTATCAGAGACCTAATAAGAGAATGCATTCGAAGAAGTCTATGGGTGTTCATGAAGTTGATGCTTACATGGTCATTTCAGCTCAACTTACAGCACTTCAGAAGCAATTAGGAGGTATGCAAGTGAATTCTATTCAAACACCTCAAATGACATGTGATTTTTGCATAGGTAACCATGCGAGCAATGAATGTCAAGTGAGGAACACCTTTGCTTTAGCTTCATCATCATCAGAACAAGTCAACCATTTGGCAGGGTATCTAAAACAACAGAACAATCTTTTCCCTAACATGTACAATGTTGGTTGGAGAAATCATCCAAACTTGTCTTGGGGCAATCAGAATCAGCAGAACAACCAATAGGATCAAAGAACAATGCCAAACAATTAAGTGGAGGTGAATAATCAACCAAAGGATCAAAGATTGTCAAAATTTGAGGACATGTTTGGGAAATTCATGCAAGAGACCACAAGTTTCATGAGTGAGACAAGGGCAACTTTCAGAAACCAAGGGGCGTCCATTCGAAACTTAGAGGTACAGGAGTGGCAAATAGCCGAAAAGCTAAATAAGCGACCACAGGGTTCCCTACCAAGCAACACAGTGACAAATCCACGTGAACAAGCGAATGCAATAGCTCTATGGTGTGGAACAGTCTTGGAAGAGGTGGAACAAATAGGGAAAGCAGAGAGCCCACCAAAAGACAGGGAAGATTCTGATGAAGAAGTCAACAAAGAGATCATTATTGAAGAGAAGCCAACAAGTCCCAAGGAAGAAGAACCAAAAAGAGAAGAGGGGTCAAGGCAAAAGAAAGAAAAATTGTCATTTCCTAAGATACTACCGAAATTGGCACATCACACCCCTCTTGTGCCTTTTCCTCAGAGGCTCAGAAAGAAAAATCAGGATAAGCAGTTCACGAAATTCATTGAGATATTTAAAAAACTACATGTTAACATTCCTTTTGTAGATGTCTTGCAGTATATGCCGAGCTACACAAAATTTCTCAAGGAAATTCTGTCAAACAAAAGGAAGTTGGAAGAGGAGGAAACAATGACGCTTACGGAGGAGTGCAGTGCCATTCTACAGAAGAAGCTTCCACCGAAACTCAAGGATCCAAGGAGTTTCACTATCCATTGTGTTATAAGAGATATTACATTTGATAAGGTTTTGTGTGATCTGGGTGTAAGTATAAATCTATTGCCTTTTTCCGTTTTCAAGAAACTAGGAATTCGTGAAGTGAATCCTACAACCATATCCTTGCAGTTTGTAGATAGATCCATCAAGCATCCAAGGGGCATTATTGAAGATGTACTGGTGAAGGTGGATAAATTCATTTTTTTGGCAGACTTTTTTGTGTTGGATATGGAAGAAGACAAGGAGATTCCTCTTGTCTTGGGACGACCATTTCTTGCTGCCGGAAGAGCCTTAATTGATGTATAAGAGGAGAAGTTGATCATGAGGGTGCAAGAGGAAGAAGTGACATTCAATGTCCTTGAGACTCTGAAAGTTCCATCGAAGCAAGATTCATGTTTCAAAATTGATTCGGTGGATCAGTCAGCAAATAGAACTTCCAAGATGGATGATCCTAAATTGCCAATTAAGGGATGCATGGTCAAGACAAGGAAAATCAAGGATGAAGACCATAAACTAGAAGTGTCTGGTTCATACAACATTCCAAGATGGGCCACAATCGAGCAAATGTCTTCACAAGGGACGAACTCCTCAGTTTAGGAATGCTAATGGACAGTTAAAAAATCAGAAAATTGTCGATGAGAACGCTCAAACCATAAAAGGAATGACAAGGGATGGAAATGGGTGGTTAAGCTCTCAACAAAAACCCGATGTGACAAGAATCATCAACGATTGAAGCCTCAGACCAAGGAAAATGTTCCAAAAAAGATGTATCTAGACAGTCTGAATTGACGAAGGACTTAAGAAAGTCGAGCTTCCAACTATAAACAAGCGTTTCTTGGGAGGCAACTCCATTTTTTTTTTTGGGTTGCCTCCTAACAAGCAAGAAATTGTCGTCCCAAGACGAGAGGAATCTCTTTGTCTTCTTCCATATCCAACACAAAAAAGTCTGCCGAAAAAATGAATTTATCCACCTTCACCAGTACATCTTCAATAATGCCCATTGGATGCTTGATAGATTTATCTGCAAACTGCACGGATATGGTTGTAGGCTTCACTTCACCAATCCCTAGTTTCCTGAAAATGGAAAAAGGTATTAGATTTATACTTACACCTAGATCACACAAAACCTTATCAAATGTAATATCTCTTATAACACAATGGATAATGAAACTCCCTGGATCCTTGAGTGTCGGTGGTAGCTTCTTCTGTAGAATGGCACTACACTCCTCCGTAAGCAACACTGTTTCTTCCTCTTCCAACTTCCTTTTGTTTGACAGAATTTCCTTGAGGAATTTTGTGTAGTTTGACATCTACTGCAAGGCATCTACAAAAAGAATGTTAATGTGCAGTTTTTTAAATATCTAAATGAATTTCATGAAATGCTTATCCTGGTTTTTCTTTCTGAGCCTCTAAGGAAAAGGCACAGGAGGGGTGTGATGTGCCAATTCCAGTGGTATCTCAGGAAATGGCAATTTTTCTTTCTTTTGCCTTGGCCTCTCTTCTCTTTTTGGTTCTTCTTCCTTGGGACTTGTTGGCTTCTCTTCAATAATGATCTCTTTGTCAACTTCTTCATCAGAATCTTCCTTGTCTTTTGGTGGGCTCTCTTCTTTCCCTCTTTGTTCCACCTCTTCCAAGATTGTTCCACTCTATAAAGCTATTACATTTGCTTGTTCACGTGGATTTGTCACTGTGTTGCTTGGTAGGGAACCCTGTGGTCGCTCATTCAGCTTTTCGGCCATTTGCCACACCTATACCTCTAAGTTTCGAATGGACGCCTTTTGGTTTCTGAAAGTTGCCTTCGTCTCACTCATGAAACTTGTGGTCTCTTATATGAATTTCCCAAACATATCCTCCAATTTTAACAATCTTTGATCCCTTGGTTGATTATTCACCTCCCCCTTGATTTTTTGGCACTGTTCTTTAATTCCACTAGTTATTCTGCTGATTCTAATTGCCCCAAGACAAGTTTGGATGATTTTTCCAACCTAGATTGTATGTTTTGGAGAAAGGATTGTTCTGTTGTCTCTGATTCCGTGCCAAATAGTTGACTTGTTCTGATGATGATAAAGCTTAAGCAAAGGTGTTCCCAACTTGACATTCATTGCTTGCATGGTTACCTGCGCAAAAATCATATGTCATTTGAGGTGTTTGAATAGAATTCACTTGCATACCTCCTAATTGCTTCTGAAGTGCTGCAAGTTGGGCTGAAATGGCCGTGTAAGCATCAATTTCTTGAATACCCATAGACTTCATTGTGTCTCTGATAGTTGTTACTTGCCAGGAGTTCAAGTAACTCATAAGCTTCTTCAGGTGTCTTGTTTTGCAATGCTCCTCCAGATGCTGCATCCACCATCGTTTGCACATTTATCATCAACCCATTATAGAACGTATGGACTTGCATCCAAATTGGCAAACCGTAGTGTAAACACTTTCTCAGCAGTTCCTTATATCTTTCCCAAGCTTCATAAAGTGATTTAATCTCTTCCTGTAGAAACGATGTGATATCATTTCTCATCTTTGCAGATTTCGCTGGAGGGAAGTATTTAGTCAGAAACTTTTGTGCCAATTCATTCTAGGTTGTGATTGTTCCTGGTGGTAGTGCTATTAACCATCCCTTTGCATTATCCCTTAATGAAAAAGGAAATAATCTTAATCTGATGGCGTCATCTGACACTCCATTTGATTTGAAGGTATCGCGGATTTCCAAAAAGTTTGCAATGTCTGAATTTGGATCTTCCTTCAGATCTCACTTAAATTGTACCAACTATTGGATCATCTGGATTGTTCATTTATAAATTTTTTTGTTGGGGGTGTTTTTGTCAATTAACAAACCTAGGGGGTTTAAAACTTTCTTAATTTAGGATATGATTTTAAAAATAGGGAAACAAATATGCATTTGTATTTAGAATAGGGACAGGATAGTAGTGAAATAATGAAACAAACACAGCCTTGGAAATTAACAAAAACACCCCCACCCACCCACATTTGCCAGATTCTGGCCACCACCATCAGCAGGTGGTCGGAATCTAGTATAATAGCGCCCTAACGATTGGATCTGGCCGGTAGTGTGCCGATCTAGTCTTTTTCGACTAGATCCACCATGAATCTGACCGGAAAATGTCAGATCTACGGTCAAATATCTGACGGCCAGATCTTTGGCTATCGTTGACAACCAGATCTAACCGTCAGTGACCAGATCTGACTATCAACAACTAGATCTAGTCGCAGCCAAATCCACGGTGGATCTAGTTAGAAAAGACCATATCTAGACACGATCAGTCAGATCCAACTAGTCATGCACCAATCTAGCGACTTTGGCCACCCTCCGAAAATGGTGACTGGCTGTCGATATTTAATGGGTGGGTGAGGGTGTTTTTGTTAATTTTTAACATTTTATTACAGGGGTGTTTAGTAAATTAACAAACATAAGGGTTATTTTTGTTAATTTTTAAATCTTACCTCGTTATTCTCACCCAACTCTTATTTTTCAAAAAATACTATCCAAAATACTAAAACAAACTATATTTTTCCTCAGCGGTATTATTTTTATACTGTTGCATCAAATAAAGCACATGAACGTGCCATTGCAGACATTTTTTTTTTTTTTTTTTTTTTTTGGGGTTTAATAAAAAAAGTGCATCAAATTAATCAAATTTGCTCCAAAGACGGGATGTTCTCAGAACGCCGACTGTGTTGGTAAGTACCCTTCCATCCGCACTAGCGTATATAGCAATAAAGGCAACTGCTTTTGCGTGGCGTCTATATCACCAATTGTAATCTTACCCTGTAAGCATGAACTTGATTAAGCTCAGTCCTCTCCAAAGCTAGCTGATGTTCAGTAATTCTATAACACATCTAATTGGTATCAATTCTAATATGGTACTTGGCTGCTTTTTATTAAACCAAATGTAAGTAGTAATAACTGATTATTGATCACGCAGAAGCAGAGGCATATAAGAACACGTACCCTAAACTCTTAATTATGAAAATGCCTTTCTAATAACATAATCAAACAAAATTAAATTTAGAAGAGGGTGTTGTTAACCTCAAAACAAAACTTATTGATCGAATTATGACAACCACTTATTACTACTTACATCTAGTTTAATAAAAAGCAGTCAAAGTACCATATTAGAATTGATACCAATTAGATGTGCTACAAAATTGCTGAACATCAGCTAGCTTTGGAGAGGACTGAGCTTAATCAAGTCCATGCTTACAAGGTACGGTTACAATTGGTGATACAGACGCCACGCAAAAGCAGTTACCTTTATTGTACTATACACTAGTGCAGATGGAAGGGCACTTATCAACACAGTCGTCGTTTCTGAGAACATTGAGCTTTAGCTTTATTCGGACGCTGGTTTTGCGATGGCTTAACCTCCATTTCTGCTACTTCCCTTAATCTTGCTCCATGAAGAAAGCCTGCTACGAATTTGCTATTGAAATCTGATAATAAACGTAACTTACAATAAATTGAAGTTAAACAGATAGAATCTTACCTGAAAGAAATAACTATGAAGACCACCAAGAAAGTCAAGTTTAGGGAAGCTCTCTCCATTACTGCTAACTCTTTCGTGTCTGATAAAATGGATTCTGTAAAAGGATTTTTGACAGTGGAGTAGTGAGACATTAGCGGTTCCAATTTATAGGGAAGGTGGCATGCATGAATCATAGTGTTGGATCAGGGCAAATTTAATTATGATTCCAAATGTTGTGAAGGGACAGAAAAGTTTTCCAAAAACACTCAAGATATTTTGTGATCATATTTAGCTATGAAAGGAAGAAGTCACACTCTTGAATTTTAAAGAAATTTTGTTTTATATATGGGAAATATAATGGCTGTAAAATGTTGGGACAGACTAGTTTCCAAATGTGCTTTGTTATTGTATATCCAAGTCACCGAAATCTATGATAATTGTTAGATATTTAAGTAATATACTCTTTTGTGTAAATGAAATGTTGATTTGAAATGATGTAGCAATAAGTGTATTATTAATTAGGGGTGCTCTTTTTCAAAATACTGAATGGGGCGTTTGATTCAGGAAATATTAGATTCCTCGAAAGTTAAATTACTTTGAAGATTATTAAGAATCTTTAGGAAAATGTGTTTAATTAATTGATGGGTATGTTATATTGGGAATCTTTAGGAAAATATGTTTAATTAATTGGTGGGTATGTTATAGTAATATGTTTGGTTGAGAATAATAAATTGGTGGATATATTATTTAAATTACTGAATTGTTCTAATTAAATATTATTATTATATTATTTTTTACTATTGATTATTATTTGGATTATATACCCCCCCCCCCCCCCCCCTTATTTAAAAACTTAACAAAAACAACCTCATAATAAAAGTTTGGAAAATCAACAAAACACCCCACCAACCTGGCTACTACCGGCCGCAGGCCGCGGGAATCCGGCAACCTAACAGCGCACGAAAGGCAGGAAATGGCCTATGTACACCGTATGGCCATTTTCGGTCAGAGATCTAGCTAGAAATGGCCATATCGACGCACGACAACCATTGTTGACCTTCCATGTGCCATTCCGATGACGGTTGGCCGCGCGATAGTTGCTAGCAACGACTAGCCGTGACAATGGTTGCTGGCAACAGCGACGACAGGTGGGTGGGGGTGGTGACTTGGGTGAGCTACAATTTGTTTTGAATTCAAGGATAATTTTATCCAAAAAGTTAATTAATTGGGATAAAATAGTAAAAGCTATATTCATATAAATAAATTTAAAAATAAGGGCATTATTATCCTAAAATTTTATTAATAAGGGATATAATGATAACAAAAAAAGATAACCCTGGTTATTTTATAATACCTAAAAAAATAAAGATAATCAGATTACCTCCAATATTACCAATAATAACCACTTTTAGTATTTAAAGACTATCAAAATCTTATACTACTTGACAATCAAACATGATAATCAAATAATATAAAATATCTTAACCCCTATAATCTTAGATAACCTCCAGCCAAACCCCCTATAAGAAATACAAAAGAAGTTCAAATTACAAAGAAAAGTCACAATTAAACACCCATTACTCTTAAATTTAACCCAAAAATAAATGACCCTTCTAATTATCAAAATTAAAAAATGTCCATGATATTAACAAAAATTGGCATTAACAACAATAATGTCTGCGAACAATACTAAATTTCATTCCAATTTCATAAATTTTCTCTTATAATCTGAACGTTACTCACAAATAAATCACACCTACTCGCTACAGATCCCGCCTGTCCAATTGAAAGCTGACTATTTAAACTGATAGATTAATTATTTAGTCCCAAACCAGCTCTCCTATTGTAAACACAACCTGAATTAATCCTATGGTTTCAATTCGTATCTCCTGCTTCACATTTGTATACATTTTTTCTGGAAAGTTAAGTCAATGAAACTTGCTTAAACCAAAATCACACTAGTTATTCAGGCGTTGGGGAGATGGATTAGCTCATTTTACCATATAATATACACAAAGAAATGAATTGTCGTTAAATGAAAACGTAGAAGGTAAACTAGATTTAAGTAAGAACATGAGAGGCATTCATTAGAGATGGCAAATAAAGCACACAATTTAAGCTAACACAACCATCCAACCAAAAATACACAACAAAGTTTCAACCTTTTTTATTCAGGTGATTTTCTCGTAAATTCATTGATCACTCTTAAGCCCATAGACTAAACTTATATTCAACATCATATCATATATTTATTATAGTCCACGGACAGGCACTTCATGCTTGGAGACCGATTACACCTGCAATGACACAAGCAAAATTAGTTGGCGATCACTACTACAAATCCCATCTTGATTATATTATCAGAAGTGCAAACTAATGGATCCAGAGCTACCGATAGAGTTACGCAGAGTGAAAGATTGTAAACAATTTTGTTTGATGCTTTTAAGCTCGTGAATAAGACTACTAACCGCAAGCTACTCTGCCACCAGCATTTCCAGTGGATTTGCTCAGCTCATGCCCACCTGGATACAAAAAGCATTTGTAAACAAATTGCAAGTTTGAGGAGGAAACATGATTAGCCAGATGTTTTTATAGCTTATCATGGAGAAGTCCATGCATAGTTGAATGTCAATTTTCAGGAAGTTGGGAGTTAAGTCAACCAGATGTTACCATGCAGAGACCCAAAACATGAACAGAATCTCTGAGGTTTTTAAACTTTACAGAAACACCAAACAGCACACTATTACCTCCTTTATTTACTTGAGGGGAAACAAGATTTACTCATCACAAATTTTGAAATATTTAACACCAAACTTAATCTTAGACATTTGATTATAGCCCTAAGATCAGCATGCTTTCCTAAAACAAATCAGCAATAAAAATATATCAAAATGAATAAGAGTCTCGTAAGTTAAAAATTTTAATATTACCCTTGCCAAGATCATCAGGATCTGCATGGACAACAACGGCCCTTCCAACAATTGAATTTGGTCCAGTAAGAGGAATCTGCAAACATATAAGCATGTTAGAAGAGAATAAAGGTGTACTGGAGTTGCGTCCATAAATGTAAGGAAAGAAACAAAACATAGACTAATGACCAAGAGATCAAAAAATACCTGCTTGTCAACAATTGTGAAACTAACTGTGCCTGAAACAAATATAAAAACCAGAAAGTGTTAATGACACAACAATCTAACCAACAATAAAATGAAAAATGTAAATTCATACATAGCACAAGCCTACATAACAGTATGACTATCAGAAAATGGTTCAGAGAGCAAAACAGATAACAAGAGGAAGTAAAATGAAAACAATGATAAGAAGAAAAAGGAAGAGAACAAGCATAACAAGTTTCAATTCCTGATAAACTATAGTTAGTTCAATTTCTTAGATCTCAACAGATAGTTAATATCATGGTATGTGGAATAAATGCATACCATCATCACCAACATTGACATTTCCTAGATCACCAGCATGACGATTCTCATCCTCTGGGGCACCATGCTCTTTGCCAGCAGGATTAAAATGAGGTCCTGCAAAATGATAAGCGATAACGAATACAAAAAATAAAGTCATTCAATAGAAACAATATTGCAATTTATTTCCACCCAATCCTTGAACTCCTGAAGCATTCAAAGTAAATATTCTAGCCAATGGACAATACCAGTTGACATGCAACCATTTGTGGTGTCCCCAAGAGCATGAACATGGAATCCATGAAGCCCAGGCTTAAGGCCAGAAACAGTTCCAGTTACAGTAGTTGGCGCTGGAAAACAAATAATATGATTACTTTCTACATGAAAAAGATCAACTCTAAGACAAATTAATCAGCAATTAAACTACCATCTCCTTCCTGGGCAAAATGGACGGTTCCCTTGACACCCTCACTGCTGCTAAGTACGGCGACAGCTTTCACCATTGTTGTATGTGATCTAAAGAATACAAATATTAAATTTGCCAGTGTATTGTCAAAGTACAGTAATAACCACCACATAATAGTAGTGGCAACAACAGTAGACAGAAAAAAAACACATTGCATAATACATGACATAAATAAAACACATTGCACAATACATGAAATAAATGACAGCCCATCAAGACTAATTATTACTGAAGCACATATAGCAGCAAACAGGTCCACCAACATATCACGCCCAAAGACACCAAGATAATTTTGGAAACCATAGAACTGCCAAAAGCTACAGGCACATAGAACAATCTCCCCTTTATGTGACTGTCATCATTAAAACACAGATTCAAGTAGCATCATTTTCTATCAAAAAGATACTGGATTATAGCTTTAAATAGCTTCATTTTTCATGATTTAGAGATTTTTTTTTTAATAATCTTTTCCCAATTGAACTAATAAGAAGCAACGGTGCAAACAACTGACATGATTAGGACATTAAAACTGAAACAAGCATTCTGATTGGAAAAGCTAGCATCTCTGATTGAATTTCTTAGCAGACACTTGCAAGAAAAAGTACTATGAAACTGAAAAGTACACCATATATATTTGGAAAAGTAGAAATATCAAGTATCAACTGTATCAAAAGTCAACAATCGAGGAGTCAAAAAATATTTGTCCAATCACTTACTATCAGCTAGGAAAGCATAGCAAATGTGCATAATAGATTACCAAAAAGTTAAAAATTAAAGAGCACGATATTCATACATCGTTATTCAAAATAATGCTATCATTTTTTAATATGATCAAAATGGCATAAGCTTAAACCACTCTTGCTTAAAACTTAAAGCAAAGGACTGCTGCAAGAGACTCAACACTAGCAATCAAAATTAGAATAATACAATTTACACATCTACCATTCAGATTGGTTCTCTAGGCGGGTTTAAGAATTTCACGGTTATCTTAAAAAACGAAAAACAAAATTCACAGTCAACGTGACAAAACTTACCTTCAGCAAAATTAAACTGATGAGATCTGAGAATAAACAGTAAACCCAAAAACATACACAACAAAACAATAAAATCTACAAGTCAAGCCCAGATCTTTAAGACAAAAATCAAGAGATCAACATAGACTTCATTAAATTCCAAACAAATAAAAAACATATTGATCAAATCAAATAGCTGTTTAACTAAAAAAATTGTGACAGTAGGATAAGAAGTCAAAGAGAAAGAAATAAGAAGAATACCTCAGAACACCCCGGGGAGAATAATTCAAAGTGATGGTATGGAGAGACTGAAGGAGTGAATGAGTAATGAGTGAGTGGTTGGCCGATTGGGATTCTACCGTTTTTAAGAGTGTAGGTGTGTGATGTGTGAACAAGACGAAACGACGTCATTTTCATAAAATAGCCAATTTGGGTCAATTTTATAAAAATAGCCATGGAAATAAAAGCCTTGCCAGCCAATATTACCCTTAATTATAAAAATAAATAAATATTGTTGTAATCTAAACAAATTCCAAGTAAAAATAAATGATTAATTTTATGAATAAATACTATAAGGATGAGTTTGGGGTTATGATATTACTTGTCTTTAAGCTATCAATAAAAAAGTATTTAATAAAACAATTTCAAAGTGATTATGTTCAAAATTGACTATGAAATAATCATAAATGACCTATTTTATAAAAAAAAATTTAAAAATTGGATTTTTTGGTTTTTAGGATTCGCCTTTTAGTGGTGATTAAAATAAAAAACAAAAACACTTTAAAAATAACTTAAATTCTATTGTTTTGTGAATTATTTTGTGAAAAAAATATTAATTATACACCTGAGAGAATATATTACGCATGTTTGGCTTAATATTTTTATCCCTATTCTGGATCCTATTCTCCAAATAATGTTTGGCACATTATTCCAGAAATATTATCCTATTTTTTAATTACATTTAAACCCCATAAGGTTATTAATTTCACTAAATACCCCCTGAAAAAAAGTTTTAAATTAACAAAATACCCCATCAACCCAAATTGTAGATTCCGGCAACCATCGCGGTGATAGCCGGAATCTGTACAACGGCCTAACTTCCGACCAGAAATGGCCGGAAGTTCACCGCTGTGGCCTTTTCCGGCCAGATTCACCACGGATCTGGCCGGAAAAGGACAGATCTGGTCGTCAGCGACGGCCAAAGAAATGGCCGTCGTTAATCGAAAACGACGGCCACATCTTTGGCCATCACTGACAGTCAAAGATGGCCCTCGTTTGGCATTTTCCGGCCGTCACGGCATAACAGACCGTAGATCTGGCTTTTTCTGGAGATCCACCATGGATCTGGCCAAAAAAGACCATAACGACGTGTACGGCACAGATCCGACCGGTCTGTGCCGTAACGAAATTTTCCGACCAGATTCCGGCGGTGGTGGGCCAGAATCTGACACTGCTGGTGGTGGGGGTGTTTTTGTCATTTTATATGTTAGGGGCTTTAGTTAAATTAGTAAACCTAAGGGTTTTTTCATAAATTTTAAAATTTACCTCGTAATACTCCTATCCAATAACCCAATACTATCCCTAAAATCCTATCCAAAATACTAAACCAAACGCACCCTTAAATATTTTTCTTTCACTTAGTATTTTTTAGAGAAATATATATATTAAAAATAAACCTCTAAGGGATGTTTTTGGTAATTTGAAGACGATCTTTTAAAATTTTCTTCCAAAAAAAAATAATTCACATTTGGAAGCTTTCTTAAGTCGCTTCAAGTAAATCTTCCGATTATGGTCATTTTAATAAATCTGTATAAAAATGGTCATATTTGAGAAATTAGCCAATATCTTTGTCAGTTAGTAATGGGATCTTCTAGGCTCTACCGTTCTAGCATTCTATTGGCCATTTGGCCTTCACAGCTTCACCTACTCCCCCGTTTTGTAGTATCAATGAAAATTAACAGCCTCACGGCCCTCACCTTACCAATGGGAATCAACGGTTTTTGGGCCTGGATTTGGGTGTTCGGATTTTGTGCTGGGCTCAACATATGGGCCTCCATGCCCAAGCTTGCTCAATCAGAATAATAAATTTTGTTATATTTTATCAATCTATAAAACTATAAATAATTTATTTTAGCGATCACTATTAAAATAAATGACAAATTTTGAATTATTTTCTTGGAGAATTTTTTTTTTTAAGAAAAAATTCTGTAACAGAAATCTCCTCAACCAAGCAGATTATTTTTATAAAAAGATTATAAATTTAATTAAAAATCAACCCAAATATGTACTGATATAATTTACAGTCTGATTTAGATTTTAAGAAGTTATCACCACCAACACATTCTCCAACTCTAAATATTTGTACATAAAATCTTTGAATTAATCACCACTTGATGATCTGATGGTCAAAAAAAAAAAAAAAAAATTAACTAATCTTTCAAATTCAAGTCTCTACAACAGGGTATTGTTTAAACTTATAAAAATTAGCTTATAAGCATTTGATAAATTTATTTTACCGATCACTATTAAAATAAATGACAAATTTTGAATTATTTTTCTTGGAGAATTTTTTTTTTTTAAAAGAAAAAATTCTGTAACAGAAATCTCCTCAACCAAGCGAGTTTTTTATAAAAGATTTATAAATTTAATTTATTAAAATCAACCAAAATATGTACTATATAATTTACAGTCTGATTTAGATTTTAAGAAGTTATGCCACCCAATCACATTCTCCAAACTCTAAAATATTTTAGTACATAAAATCTTTGAATTAATCATCACTTGATGATCTGATGGTAAAAAAAAAAAAAAAAAAAAAAATTTACATAATCTTTCAAGTTCAAGTCTTACAACAGGGTATTGTCTAGATTATAAAAAAGTTATAAGCATTTAGCTTATAAGTATTTGAAATTTTAAGTAATTATGTGTTGTTTTAAAGTACTTATAAGTGACGGATAAGTAGTTAACGTGTTTGATAAAATAGGCTTGTAAGTAATTATTATAAAATGACTAAAAATGGTACTACATTAAATAAATATATACTATAGAATTTTAAAATTAAACAAGGATAATGTGGTAAATAATTGATCAAACTAGCTTATAAGGAAAAAAAAAAAAAACAAAAAAAAAAAAAAAAAAAAAAAAAAAGGTACCTCTCCAACTTATCTTTTAGCTTTAAGCTCAACTTATAAGCTTAAAAAAATTATAACAAACAAGTCAGCTTAATTTTAGAGCTTTAAGCTAGTTTAACCAGCTTATAAGTGGGTCACGAGAGTTCTTATGCGTACAAGTTGGTTCGAACATTTCAGTCATTAAAAAAAAAAAAAAAAAACTTTAGTATTTATAGGTTTTATTATTTGATTAACGAATTAAGTGTAAATGTGTCGAACGAAAAAAAATGTTATCAAAATGATAATTAAAAGACGTAAATTATATTTAGATAACGTATATTGAGGAAATCATAACTCTTTAATGTTTTTTTTCTTTTTCATATTTTCAGAGTCATTTACTGGCAATGTGTAAAACGGTCGTTGAACTGGACTTTTGGTCTGCCACCTACCCACACAAACGTGAAAAGCCGAAATTATTGGTTGCACATTTAGATTACAAATAAGTGGTGATTAAAAGATGAAGTTGATCTCTCATAAATTATTCACCACTCACAACCACACCATTTTAAACAATTCAATAAATTGCCACCTGTCTAAATAATATCAGCTAATTTCTGAACAGTGTATCAAAGTATAAAAAAAAAAATTTAATATATAATTATATTATGACTAGGTTTGAATATCGTTAGATCAATTCTTTAGATTGAAATAATACTTTACATATAAGGATCCAACGGTGAATATGTATGTTCTTGATATAATTATATCAGGACATTTATTAATGGGATTCGTTTATTTCTCTGTCTTTATAGAGAATTGAATTTTAAAATTATTTTTCTTTTCTTTTGATTTAAAATTTTGGGATATTACATTATAGAATAACCTTATTTTCTTAGTGTGAGTCGAGATTAGACCAAAATACCGTTTCTTAGCTTAAAAACCCAAAATGACCAACTGATATATCTGAGAAGTACGGAACACTGATCACTAGACAAGGATAAAAATATTCAATTTCATAATGTATATTAGTTTGTAAATTGAAAAATTCATAGTGATTTCATCTTTGTATCCTTAAGAATACAAGAAAACTATAATATGCGGTTCCGTGCATTATGGTTGATTTGGGTTTTGATTAGGAAAATCTAGTATTTATAATTAAGTCAATTATATTTAGCATTTATATTTGGGCCAATTTCTTTTTCTTTGGATATCTTTAGGTCTGTTCGGTTTGTTATTTTGGATAGAATTTTAGAAATAGTATTGGGTAGTTGAGTATGGTGATTATTACGAGATAAAATTTAAAAATTAACAAAAAAAAAACCCTTTAAGTTTGCTAATTTAACTAAACACCTCAATATTGGGTTTTGGAGAGGGGGGTGGTTAAGCTGTCAAATATCGGCCGACATAAAAAGATTTATAAAAGATATGTGCATTGAAATGGATGAAAGAAGACATATATAAGACACATTTTCGTTTAAAATGGATAAACAAAAATGTGTGATAAAAAAAAGAGAAAGTTATCTTAAAAGACTTTTAATATTATTAACATATACGTGCATGATTTTATAACACACATTAAGAGCCAATTCACACGTTACTTTTTTATTTTGACATTCAAAATACATGTTATTAGATAATAAATATAAAATACACGTTAAGAGGTGGTTCATATGTTACTTTTTTTATTTAGACATCCAAGATACACGTTAAGATGTGGTCCACATGTTACTTTTCGATTGTTCGACGAAAGATAAGAAGTCAAGGGTTAGTAATGAAACATTGGCACATCCTCTCGAAATGTCTTAGAAAAAAATTTATAATTGATTGAAAGAAAAAGTAAAAGACCATGGTAGAACAAGAAAAAGAAATACATATATATGTTAAAATGGGAGAGAGGTAATAAAAGACAAAACAGAGACAAAGAGTTATTACAAGAGATAAGGGGTCCGTTTGGTTTGTTATTTTGGATAGGATTTTGGAAATAGTATTAGGTAGTTGAGTATGGTGATTATTACGAGGTAAAATTTAAAAATTAACAAAAAAACCCCCTAGGTTTGCTAATTTAATTTAACTAGATACCCCAATATATAAAAATTTTGTAAAATGATAAAAACACCCCCACCCATCCACAGTGCCAGATTCCGGCTACCACCGTCGAAATCTGATCGAAATCTGATGTTACGACATAGACCGGTCGGATCTGGCCGGTTGTGCCTCGATCTGGCCTTCAACGACTGCAAAA